CCAGGCGGGCCCTGGGGGGGGGAAACGGGGGGGGCTCAGGGATGGGCACCCCTGTCCTGGGGAGGGGGGACACGATGGCACCGGGTGTCGTCGTCGTGTGTCCCCCCCACCCCGCACGCCAGGAGCCATCCGGGGTGGGGACACTGCGGGGACCACCAGGACCTGCTGGCGTTGGGCACCTCCCCTGGGTGTCGGGTACTGGGACCCACTGGGAACCCCAGGCACTGGGCACTGGAACCCACTGGTGCTGGGCACTGGGACCCACTGGTGCTGGGACCCACGAGCATTGGGCACTGGGACCCATCATGTTGGGCACCCCCCACCAGGTACTGGGACGCACTGGTGCTGGGACCCCTGAGCACTGGGACCCATCATGTTAGGTAACCCCTGGGCATCAGGTACTGGGACCCACTGGTGCTGGGCACTGGGACCCACTGGTGCTGGGATCCATGAGCACTAGGAACTGGGAATCATCTTGTGCACCCCCCTGGGCATCAGGTACTGGGACCCACTGGTTAGGACCCCTGAGCACTGGGCACCGAGGCAGAAGGTACCAGCGTCTGTGGGTGTTGGGACACCTTGGGCACTGGGACCCACTCGCGTGAGGCACCCCAAGCACTGGGAACGGGGGACCCCGCACTGGGACCTGTTGGTGCTGGGCATCACCAGGGCACCAAGACCCACCAGCACGCTGGGCACTGGGACCATTGTCTCTGGGCGTTACGTACCAGGACGCATTGGCACTGGGACCCACGGGCGAGGGGCACGGGGACCCACTGGTGGCACTGGCATCGATCACCAGCACCCAGAGGTGCTGGGCACCTCAAAAGTGCTGGGCACCAGCACCCACTGGTGCTGGGCAGCTCAAAAGTGCTGGGCACCAGCATCCACCGGTGCTGGGCACCTCAAAAGTGCTGGGCACCAGCACCCACCGGTGGTGGACACCTCAAAAGTGCTGGGCACCAGCACCCACCGGTGGTGCACACCGGTGCGGGCCCCCAGCACCCACCAGTGGTGGGCACCTCAAAAGTGTTGGGCACCAGCACCTGCTGGTGGTGGGCACCTCAAAAGTGCTGGGCACCAGCACCCACTGGTGTTGGACACCCCCTGTGTGGGTGCTGAGCGCTGGGACCACAGGCATGGAGCACTGGGACCCACTGGTGTGGACACCTGGGGTAGGAAGCACCGGGACAGCCTTGCCAGCCTTGGGTGCGGGGGATGGACACGGGACCCCAGGTACCTCAGGATGTTCTCGATGCAGCTGCGCTGGCGGAAGAGGGCGTTGACGACGGGGGTGCCCTCGGGCACCAGCGGGGCCTTGCAGAGGAAGGCGACGATGGAGAGGACGCTGTGGAAGCCCTGAAACTCGGGGTCGGCCTCGGTGCGGAAGGTGACGCGCTGGCACAGCTCCGTCAGGATGGCCAGGGCCAGGATGATGGGGCGGGGCAGCGAGTCCTGCGGGCAGCGAGGGTGAGCCACCCACCCCCGGGGAGGTGCCACCACCCCCCGGGGACACCCCGGTCACCCTCCCCACGCACCTCGCACGTGTTGTGGATGACGATGGTGTTGGTGCCCCCCATCATGATCTCCGACGTGTACTCGTCCAGCGCACGTTTGCTGTCCCCCACGTAGGGGACGTACTTGATCACCACCTGCGAAGCGACGTCCCCGTCACCGCGCCGTCACCCCCATCGTCATCGTGTGTCCCCTCCAAGCCCCCAACTCACGCAGTGGTCGGGCTTGTCCTGGGGACCGTAGAGGATGGGGTTGGCCTGGACCATGTCATCCACCACGTTGCTCTTGGAGATCTCCTTGGAGCGGAACTGCTGCGGGGCCGAGAGGTTCTTCCCATCGTTGTTCCCCAGGTGGTTGTAGCTCACGATGGACTTGGCCTGGGCAGGGGGTGCAGGTGGGTCACCCCCCCGTCACGCACAGGTCCCCTCCCCGGACCACCCTGTCCCCACCTACCTTGAGTCCAGCGCCCACCAAGAAATCCACCAGCACCGACTTGAGCTTGGTCTGACCGGACTTGAAGTCGTCGCCGCAGATGAAGACGCGGCGCTGGGCGGCCAACTCCACCGCCCCCGGCACGAAGGTGTTCTGCGGGGAGCCGTTGATGTAGGCGCAGCCCTCCAGGATGCTGGCCACCGCGAAGAGCGTGGACGGGGACACCTCCAGGCCTCGCTGCGGGGACACGGGGCGGCTCAGCACTAGCAGGGCGGTGTTGTCACCCCCCCGCCTGGGTCCCCTCCCGGGTCCCCTGACCTCGATGGCCC